AAACCAATCTACGCGGTCGTTCAGAATAGACTACCATGATAGTTGTCTGCTCGTATGAAATACCGCTACTTACCTGGAGCGTTTGCCATTGCTCACGTCCAAACTGTCGATGTTGGAATGAACTCACAACTAACGTACGGGTGATTTCGTTGAGCTTCCCCTTAACTCGGTTTGAGCGGAAGACAGATAAGTAAAAGGTAAAAGTACTTACTGAAATTGCGTTCACTTGGATAGCATCAATTATGAATTCCTCTAACTGATCGTTCGATGGCAAATCCAACTCTTTCGCAAGATCATCGAGATGAATTACCTGAAAGATTACAATCTTTCCAAGATGGTCCATAATGTAATAGAACGATACATTATTAGTCTCGGCGATGGTCATCAATGTCAAAAGCCTGATTTTCTTCAGTAAAACAGCCTCGTCAACCTAAAATGAAAAGGTCCTACCACTGGATATTTGACCAGTTGTGACAATCTCACCTTCAACATTTGCCCAACAAACTCTGGATGAGCCTTGACAAAAGCCCTGTAATCCTTTAGTGTTCCAGATATGAACAATTCCAATGCAGAGTACATCAACGGATCAGACTAAAATAATAAAATCTCAGCAGCAGAAATAAAAAATTGACTTATTTACCTTTTGCAATGCTTTAACAGCGCATAGGCGTTGCAAATGATCAAATGAGAACGACTTCGGATCCACCACAGCTGTTCTTACGCATTCGATTGCATCTTCGCGGGCTTGCGCAGCGTCTTTCTCGGTGTACGTCCCCAACAGCATAATCATTACCTATTTTGGAACAAGATTACTGCCCGTAAAAACTAAGAATACAAGTAGAAAACCTCACCTTAGCTGCCTGATCAGCCTTTTGGTCTTCAAGAAGTCCAACATGTACGAGACGAAGTATATCCCTCTGCCCTTCCAGTGATGTTCCCCACTGTTTGAATTGCTTTTGTAAGGTTTCGGTGCTGCAGTCCAGTTCACCGATCATGCGGGCTTCAGAGCACATAGCTACCAAAGAGCGGTACAGAGTTTCCTAAAGTGATGAATTACCTTTATAGTGAACAACGAAAACTTCAAATTGGCAAAGTGAAAACTTCAGAACAAAGTGGTTGTGGAGGAAGTTATGATGTTTTGCATATACTCCTTGAATGTGAAAAGAATGGGAATGACTTGCCACTTTTTTGTTT